TTATCGGAAGCAATAGTCATCCGTTCATTCATTGTATATCATGAAAATATGATGTACACTTTTTTCTTCCTTTGTGTTTTAATTGCTAGTCCTTCACAGCAAAGACCATCTCTTTAATTTGTATACAGCCCATGGCAATAGGACCTTTTTTTGTGAATCAATGTGCTATGTAGAGACTGGTTTTAATTTGATAATGCACTAGAGATTTTAATCTGGGGGGAGGAAAGCTGTTTAGAGAAATATTACAAACAAGCAGAGTTCTTTCAGAGCAGCTCTTAAGGCATGAAGAAAGATTAGGTTGCTCTGAAGTACTGAGCAGGAGGACAACTGCATATTCACCATGGGCTTTATCCTGTCATGCAAGAAATACCATTTATTTCAGTGGAACCAAATATATAGCAAGGTACTAGCCAATATAACTGAAAACTGTGTCTGCTACTCTTTTTGGAAGGGTTTGAATTCACACGTAATTGATCTGTATCTGAGTGTAGTTACGTCTTTTTTCTCACAAAAGGGGAGTCTTCCTCCTTGTCTGGATTGTTTAATGATTTTGATATCAGAGCCCTGCATGAGGTTTTGACAGTCTTGTTCCCACAGAGTCAGATTGCTTTCCTTCTCATCTTGAGCATGGATTCGGGGGCAAAAAGTCGCTGGATCCCTATTTTAGGCAAAAATAAACTGACCAAGCTTTAATCACATAGTTTCAAATTGCCTTTATGTGACAGAATTTTAATTACGATCTTAGAAGTGCTGCTACTAAAATGCTCCCAGGAAACTGCAGGAAAGATGCAGACACTTCATGGCAATATTCATTTTGCATTTAAGGTGACAACATTTTAAAATTCAAAACACCATTCAGGTAGCCTTTTTGCAATGCTTATCTAGTTTTGGTTTTCAGAACATACCATCACCTAGGCGCACATACTGGAAAAAAAACCTTTAAACCTATTTCCTTTCTTTTCTACTTCCCGTGACTCCGAACCAGGAGAAACTGAGGCTCTTGTGACCACAATGAACCCTCATACATTGATGCTATTGGCCTTTGTCAATCAGTTTCTGTTTCAGACTGACCAAATGTTTCCAAGGGTGCTCTATCTTGAGGTTTTTCAGAGGGGAATAGCAGTAACAAGCCAGTGTACATAAAAGCCCAGCTGACCACATCAACAACAGCTTAAACTGTTTGTGTGATATCCAACAGTTAGTGCACTGCCATCCTCTGGAAACCAGACTTCTCATTGGTACCTGCTGCTTGCTTGCTCAGGCATACTACTTCAGATTTACTTGGGTGAAAACTTTTGCCTGAAAAACATTACAATTTCCAGCTGTGTAATTTCCTTCCCTGCTGACCTTTTTTTTTTTTTTGGAGGACAGCATACCTGACCCCAAAGGAGAAAATGGTGAAGAGAAATGAATATACTGTCACTCAGACCTGGTTTTTGCCCTGTGGTGAAATGAATACCTGCTCCCTTCAGTTCCTCCAATATCTTAAATTATCATGAAAGTTCTCTTTCCCATGCATTCGGCCACAGCACTGTGAAAACATTTCTGTATCTATATTCAACCATCTACACATTCAGGTATTTTAAAATGTTAGTGTTCACTTTGAATGGATTGCATTATCAATCAACCCTTTTCTTCCCTCAAGTTCATATTTTCATATTTAAAGAATGCTTTCCTTTATTTATCAATAATTCAACTCTTAGAGTCTGCAAAAGGGAATAAAACAAGTCTTCAGAGCCTTCTACAATTAGCATACCCTCATTATGCTCCAGTAATTATCTCCCCTGAGATTTCAGTTGGGATGCCACACTGCTCTCATCACTACTACATTCCCATGGGGGAAATTAAGAGGCAAAACACCAAGATTACTGAGATGCCACATTCACCATGCATACGCCATTGAGCTCCCAGTCTTTCTGCATTTGACTCTAGCCAACAAATTATTTACCAGCAACCAAAACCAGCACAGCTATGTTTGTTCCATGCCACCAATGTCAGTTCAAAATGGGTTAGCATGAAACTTGTTCTTTATTTATAGGGAGGAAAAATTATTTACTGTATCAGTATTGTTCAGAGGATGCAGGTACTAAGCTTCTTAGGAGGCATCAGGGAGAATAGTGTTTGTTGTATTAAGGGGGTTTTGCTCATGGGGGCTTTTGTTCCTTTTTCTTCTCTCCTTTGCTGCCTCCTCCCCACTTTACCCAAGAAAATTCAATCAATATTGTCTCCATTCTCCATTTAATGCCACTTCTCTGCCTGCAGGACTCCTTTGGTACATTATCCTTCTTGTCCCAGGAAATGATTGACTCCTTTCCCAAGACCCTAACACCCTTTTTATCTTTGGGTGGCATAAAGAGGACTGTAGACCAAGGTAAAGTTCTTCCAACCATTCTATCGAAAATGACAGAAGTTTTCTAATTTTAAAATTCAGGAGTACTAGAAAGAAAATTACCCCAGCCAACACCCAGACAGCATCCCAGTTCTCAGCTGTGCTAAGTCTCCCCACACTGTTATCTCAGAAACTGTGAATGGCCACTTCAAAACAATTGATACAGCTCCAACTGATACAGCTACCCACCCAACTTGGTGTAATGTGTCTAGAAAACAGCCCTCTTAAAATCTCAGCAGTTTTTATCAGCTGTAGGTGTTTCTGAGAACTGTGTGCAGCTGGGTTTGTCCAAGTTAAAAAAAGTTGGAAAGTTGGGGAAAGTGGGAAAGTTGGGTGCTACACTTCCCCCCAGGATTACCTAGTGATGCATTACAATTCCCTGCTTGATTTATACTGAATGGGCAGCAATCACAGCCAAGTTTCAGGACTGCATGCTTGATAAATCACACCACCACATTGTATTGCAGTAACCCACTGTTTATTTCACAGTTGCCAACATTATGCAACTCTTCAGAAATATTCAGAAAAACAGATGTGTGATACACAAAATCCACAATAGCCGTGTCCCTTCCTACATCAAGCTCCATGCAGTAACTGCTGATCTCAGATCTTAGAGAGCATCTGTAAAGTCCACTGAAGTTGATTTTTTTGATCATCTTTTAACAGGGGAGATTGATTAAGTATCCTATTTATGAAGTACTTGAATGCAATCCCATTACACATTCCCATTTGATGCCTTTCAATATTTAAACAATTTAAAAGGTTAAGGAATGAACGTTTCCAAGTTGCAGGTTTATAAAAAATCCTATTCGATACAGAAGATAGTTTCCTCTTCTATTCATTTTCCTTGAAACAGTTGCATAGAGAAAAACCCATGTTCCACCACAGTTACTGGCCTAGTGATCAATATATTATATACAAACCCAATTTTCATTTACTGTCAACATTTTTTTGAATTATATATTCCTTTCTTTTATGTGTTATCTTTGTACATTCATAAAAGCCCAATAGCTTATACCTAGGAGCACTCCTAAGCCTGTTTAAGTTCATAATCCTAAACATGGACTGGACAGAGTTTTACCCATGCCTCTTTGTATGTGCATTAGTGTTATATGAAATACATATCAAAAGCTAGTGCCACAACTTCAGTTTAAGAATGTGTGCACAGAAGTACAAATCGTCTCATCCTTTCTACTCACCTGGAGTACCACAGCATAACCCACAAGCAGGAGATCCCTAATAGTTAGTCTCAGTGGTCTACAAAATATCTGTGAAATACTTCTTCTGTTGTCCTTAGAGATAAACACCCCCCAGTGGTTCTAATTATTTCCTCATACCACCTCTTCCCCACTACATGAGACTTAGACTGGGATTCCTGTACATTTAAGGAAGTTGTATGAAGATCCAAAACAGGAACAAGTATGGACTGAATAAAATAAAATAGATTGTCAAAGGAGGAAACAGTCCATAAAGCTTGTGTTTCTAACATCCAGTGTCTTTGTGAAGGATGCGTACACCAGGCTATCAGTTTATGTGTAATACGAATTTAATAATATGGAAGAGCTGATCTGAAACCCAGCTCTGCACACACAACAAACCACGGCATTGCACTCAAGACAGCAGATGCACAACCAGCTGCAGGTATGTCCAGCCTTTTGCACTACAGCAACAAACCCCAACAGACTAAGGTCTTTTATAGAGTGGAAGGAATTAAGGTATTTTTTTAGAGGAATAGGGGAATGCTAGGTGCTTGCCTGCTGGACTGGTACTTCCACAGCAGTTAATGGCTTGGCTCACATGCCGGCTTGGCTTTGATTGACAGGAGCAGTGTGGCTGGGGGAGCTCGGGAGACGATTTTTACAGGAGCGTTTCTAAGAGATCGTGAGGTAAATGAGTGCCTTGAACATGTGCAAAAAGCCGGTATTTCCATCTGTTTACTGAGATTTTTCCCGGTACGATGCAAATAGAAATGGTAACTAATGTAAGCGTAAGAATGGCAGCGACGGGATCGCAAGGGCTCGGGTCCCAGTGCAGATCTCCCGGCCAACGCCGTGCCCTTCCAAGCGCCGCCGCCATTTTCCCTCGGCCCTCTCGCCGTGGCCGCAGGCCGGGTGGAGGAAACACGTCCCGGGGGAGGCTCTGCCGCTCAGCGGCAGCGCGGCGGCCGCCGCCACCTCACGGGTTCTGGCCCCGACAGCTGCGGCTCGGGGGAAGCCCGAGGCGAGGCAACGCCTCACGCGCTTGGGGAAGGCCTCAGCGCCAAGATGGCAACACCGCCCTGCCCTGCCCCCGCGGCGGCCGTGACGGCGCTCCGGGCCCCCAGCCAGCCACCCTGTACCCGCGACGACCGCGACCCCGGCGCGTCGGCCGGCGAGGGGCGCCGGCAGGCGGAGCCGCCGGCGGGCCCGGCGCATCACACCAGGGGGCGGGACCAGGCCGCGCCGAGGAAGAGAAGCCCACTGCGCCTGCGCCGAGCGGCCGACGACACTACGCATGTGTATATGACAATTTTGCGGCCGGGTCCCCCATTCTGACGTCAGCGTGATTGACGTGCTGGCTGTCCAATGAGAGCCGGAGGTGCCATTCAAATGAAGGGTGCCGGTGTAACAGCTGCCAATCGAATTTTGGGGGCGGTCTTTGGACGGAGGTACGTTCCCGGGCGTTTCCGACGGGGTTTTACTGCGCTCGGGGCGGTGCCGACGCTTAGTGTGTTTAGAGCCGGCGGTCGGGCGTCGGTGCTGGGCGGTATGGGAGTGAGGTAGAGGTGGCCCAGCTGCGGAGAACAGGGGAGCGCGTCTGAGTGGCGGGGCCGAGCCTGCGCGGCGGCGAGGACTGCGGAGCCGGCCGGAGGATGGAGGACAAGAAGGAAGAAGGCGAGGCGGAGATCCAAGAGCACGGGCCCGAGCACTGGTTTAGCAAGTGGGAGAGGCAGTGCCTGGCTGAAGCTGAGCAGGAGGAGGCGTTGGCTCCGGAGCTGCAAGACGAGGAGGCGGCGCAGCCGGAGCACAAGCAGCAGAAGCTCTGGCACCTCTTCCAGAACTCGGCCACCGCTGTGGCGCAGCTCTACAAGGGTGAGCGTCGCGGGAGAGGTGGGGGGGGACACGGGGTTTGGCGGGCGGTGGAGCCCGGGCGCGGTGCTCTCAGGGCTGAGGCCGGGCCCGGGGAGGTGACGGCGGGGTGGGCGCCACTGAGCCGCCGGTGGTGGGGTGGGAACGGGGCCGCGACGGCACAAAGGGGATGTGGCGGCCTGGGTAAAGGGAGGAGCGGGCTTCCGGCCTGGGGGCTCCGCGCCCGTCTATAGAGGCAGACGGGAAAACAAAATGGCGTGAGGGGGAGCCGCGGCCGCTGCTCGGACATCGCCCTTCGCGGCCTCTAGCGGGGCAGCCCAGGCCCAGGAACAGCTGGGCCGGCGATACCCGAGGGCTGGCTCTGGCGTTAGCCCGGCCTACCCCCACCCCGGCTGGCACGGGAGGGCAAAGGCTGCCGGTGGGACTCGGCCCTGCACCGGAGGCCCCGGGGAAGCAAGTCGCCCCGGCTGAAAGCGGCCTCTTCGGGGGGCCGCGCCGGGAGGGCACTGGCCGGCGGGGGGAGCGCTGTGAATGCCAGGGGAGCGGCGGGCCTCGGGGACGGGGAGGGTGGGGACCGGCCGGGAAGCCCGGCCCTGCCGGCGGCGGCTCCCGACGCGCAGCCCAGGGAAGAGGCTCCGACAAAATGGCGAAGTGAGGGGCCGGCCCCATTGTGCCGTGAGGGCTGCGGGTGGGGGCCGCGCAGGCGGCTTCCCCGGCAGGCTGGGGACAACACTGCCGCCGGTCCTGGGCCCGGGCCGCTGCCGGCCGGCCCTTCTCGGCCCGGATCCCGAGTTGCCTTCCGAAGGTGGAACAAAATGGCGAAACCTAACATGGCCGTTCGGAGTTGGTGACTCCAAAATAAACAGCGTGTGTCCTTCCCTCCCTGCAGACCGGGTGTGCCAGCAGCCGGGGCTCTCCCTCTGGGTCCCCTTCCAGAACGCTGCCACTGCGGTCACCAACCTCTACAAAGGTAAGGGGCTGCCCTCCCCCTGCTGCCCTGGCAGCCCTCTCTGCTGAGCCGGGCCTGACTCTGCCTCCTGCCCCGGCTTACTCATAAGCAGGACCTGTTAATGTCTCTTATTCACCCTGATAAAATCTAAGCCGAGACTGCTTCCTGAATCTTGAAAGTTTTCCCTGGGCCCCTCTGGCTGACAGTAGTTGAATCTTTTCTGTTGTCTCATGTCAGTGACTAATAATTTAAAAGCTTTTTTACTTCATGAGTCTCAGAAGAGGATATTTATAATATGTGGTGCAGGGTTGTGAATTAAGGGAAGATGCAATAGTTTATTAGAGTACTGCGCTGTCCTGCATTTTGTATTTTTCATGGTGTAGTGAACCATAGTTTAGGTTTAGTGTTTATAAAATTTTGTGTAGATGTATGTGACAAAGTTCTGTCATCTTGTAACAGTGTGGCTTCTTAAGTAAGCTTACTAGTCTAAGTGCTAGAATGTCGCTATGGCTGTGGCCAGGGTGGCTGTAAGAAAGCAGTGTTAGCCAAAACTGTGGTAAGGGTGCGCTCTGCATGTGGCTGTTCCATAGTGCGGTTTTCCTCTGTGTTCCAATCTGTGAGTATCTGTTTCTGAGCCCTGCTTTTCTTTAGGTTGTCACAAGAATTCTTGTGTGCAGAGGAAACAGTGATTACTAGTGTGTTAAAAAAAAAAAACAACAAAAACACAACAAAAAAAAACAACCCAAAACTGCATGGAAATGATATCTAGATCAGTGGAAGCTTAAATTGGCATGGTGTGATTCCCAATGTTAGCCTTCCATTTCTAGGAAAATAAAACTTTTTTTTTGAGTTGTAGGATGTTTTTTTTCTTGGTCTGTACAGCATTACCTATAGTTCCGTCTGCATCTTTCATTTGTCTCCAGTTTTCCCATTTTGGATTTGCTGTAAGCAATTTAACTTAGTAATGTACTTGTGATAGCTGAACAGGTTTCTAGTAGATGAGAACAGAGCGAAGGAGAAATGTGGATGCATAACCCTCTCTGACAGATATGACTTCTGTAGAAAGTGCATTTAAGTGTTGAGTATATATTACAGGTCACATAAAGGGGTAGCATGTCATATAACAGGGTAGGCCTTGGCCTGAGGGAGTGGGTCACTAGATAGTGGTCTGGGACATGAGTCACTTGAGCATGGTGCTAGAGTAGCAGCAGGTAGTGTCAATAAATTGCCTGGAATAATTTTAGTATTATTTTTTTTTTACAAATGGTATTGCATTCCCTTACAGCATCTTTACTACAAAGAATTAGGCTGTTTATTCATTAAATAGTTTGATTACTTGTGCTATAGGCAAAACTAAACCCTATTTTTCTGCAGTGATGTGATTAACAGAAGAGTGTGTATGTGGTGACAGGGAAACTAGAACTTAAGTAGGAAGCTGTCTTTAGTCAGGTGTAATGTAATGCTTTAGAAAGCAACACCTGAAACAAATCTTTCCTTCAAGCAGACCTTTAGGTGCTGAAGTACCTCTGTTACTTAGAACTGCTGTCTTTCAATTCTACATTTCTGCTTCCAAATGGGTAGAAATTTGTTGAGAACACAGGTAGAATCAGCTAGATAGTGGCCTACCAGATAAGTTGAATTCTCTAAATGTGGATTTGCCTTCCTTAGTGATGAACGTGGCTCTTTGAAAATACTGTTTCTGACAAGCTCAGTAACATTTGTGTTTTGAAGGACTCTGTAAAAACACTGGAGAAGTAGTTGGTGTGGTAAACTAACCACAAACTGCCTCTTGCCCTGTCAGCTAGTTTCTGATCTGAGGAATGCTTGGATTTTTGAGGTGTCAAAATTCTTTACAACAAGAACTACATGAGGAATAGTATGTAAGGATAATACCATGTCTTGAATGTCAGCTTTTTTTTTTTCATTCCTGAAAATAGATGAAAAAGCTTAATACCATGAGTGATACCATCCGAGTGACCACACTGAGTAGGTCTTGGATCATGAATGGTTCTGATTGGTGCTGGTGGCTGCATTTAAAGATACTTGATTGTCTTCCAGATTGCACTGAATAAGTGAAGGCATGACATGTAATGCAAGATTCAGAATTTAAGGCCACTGTGGGAAGTCTTTGGTTTATGGTGGAATAAGAATTGTAAACCTGTAATTTACCTTATTTTTATATAAAACTGAATGTTTGCTAATGTCAATTTTCAGAATGTGTGTAGCTTGAATGCTTGTATTTTGCCAGCTTAACTTCTGTATACAAAGTAGCTGTAACTTTTACCATAAAAATCTGTTTCCTAGAGTCATGATGCTTAAAACTTGCCCAGGCTGCATCAGCAGTCAGTGAGCTTGACCTCCTAACTAGTTAAGTCCTTTATAAGGCATTCTCATATACAAGGAAAGGAGGTTATTGTTGTAAAGCTGGGCTCCTAATCTCACAGAAGGACTTTCTCATTGTATTTCTGGAACTTGATTAAAGGAATATTGTCAGTTTTCATATTGGCTCCAAAGTATTTAGGTAGCTTTTAGTGTGAGTGTATTAGAGTCTAAGCTTCTGTGGAGTATCAAATAGCTGGAGGAATGGTCTGTCATGTTGCCATTGCTTTCACAAGAATTAGCATTTGTAAATGTTCTAGTGTTTTGATTACACAGCAGCATAGGCAAAATACTCTTGGAGTGCTTAAAAGTACACTTAACAGGTTAGTTTCTCAGTGTACCTGTGTTGCTTATATTATAAACCCCCCCTGAAACCATCACTTCGAGATGGTTTTTCATTATGTTTTATGTTTGAAAGGCTGCTTTCTGCTAGTGTAGATTTTGGTTTCTTCTGTGGACCATTGCAGTGGTGCCTTGGAACAGAAGACTAAAAATAGGACTAACAGTGACGATTTTCATGTGTTTTTTTTGGTCTGTGATAACCAGATTAGATAGGTAGGTCATTGTTCACCTGTAAACCAATAGCTTGGACAGCTGTTCTTAAATAAATCAAATATTTTTCTGGCCAAATGCCTCTTATGTTGGACTTCAGTTGGTAGAGCAGGTACATAAAAAGCTGTCTTAAATCGGCTCTCCCAGGTTAACTATGGAAATAAAGTGGAATTGAAGTGGATATGTTGGTGTCTTTTAAAGGAGCAAGAGCAACATAGCAGTAATTATTATAAAACTAAACTAGCTGTTCACAAGGCTCTAAAACTTATGCTGAACAGGAAGGGCATAGTTGAGTACAGAATACAGTTTGTCTGGCTTGTTGCTGTTGGCTGAAGCGTACTCAAGCTAGTACAGTCTTCAGTACTTTGAAAGCAATGTTATACGAGGCATTGAAGTATTTCTTGCAGGCACAATTGTCACTGATGTTACCAGTTATACTAATGGAGAATGGAATTGCATTTTGGAGAGGGATTAATTGCAAATAATGTGCTTAAAACTTCTGTATGTAAAATTTTCAATGCGGTCTAAGTGGGGAAGGAAACTGTTTAGCCTTCTTTTATAAATGGTGTGTTACCTAATAAAAAGGCATTGGGGACACTTATGTTCTAACTAGTTTTAAAACTGTGTCCTCCAGTGAATTGTCTCTGCAGTTGAAATTCAGATGAAACTAGAAGAACTCTAGTTCCTCTACTAGAAACTAGAGAGGAACTCTAAAGAAGTCTTGAGTTTCCTGAAAATTCTTTGCCTACCAGAATCAAAGCCATTATTTCTTTGTGGGGTTTCCTGGCTGTCCTGGTGCACTTTGTATGTCTTTTAAAGTGCATTGTGTTGATTTGAGTACCATCCTCAGACTGACAAGCTCAAAGTGTGGTTTTAATGGCAATACAAGTGTCGTAAAAGGTGCTGTTGTACTGACCCCAAGTATGGTAAATGCAGTTTTGGTGGTGCTTAAGTTGCTGTTGACTTTCTGATTTGCAAAGGGGATGCAACTCTACCTAATACCCTTTTCAGGTTTCATAGGACTTCAGTGCTAGCTAATTTGTTACAGCTAACCTGGTACTATGTTACAATAACCTTTAGAAGAATTACTTCTTCCCCAAGGTTGACAGGAGGCAGCGTCACTGGTATGTCATACTATATGTTGCTATATCTGTAACGCTGAAAAACTTTTTTTTGTCTCCTTGCAGAAAGTGTGGATGTCCATCAGCGAAGCTTTGATGTAGGAATTCAGATTGGCTATCAGCGTCGGAATAAGGATGTCTTAGCTTGGGTTAAAAAACGCAGAAGAACTATTCGTAGAGAAGACTTGATCAGCTTCCTATGTGGAAAAGTTCCTCCTCCAAGAAATTCTAGAGCTCCCCCAAGACTGACTGTAGTATCCCCTAATCGAGCAACTTCAACAGAAACTAGTTCATCTGTAGAGACTGATTTGCAGCCCTTCCGTGAAGCCATAGCTCTGCATGGTAACAATTTTTTTTTTTTAATGCTACTTGGTTAAAATTTTGGGGGGCAGGTGGTTAAAGCATGTCTGGCTTGTGGCCATTGCTGGTTCCATATCATGTACCTGATGTTCCAGCTGAAGGTTTTATTCCCCTCGAGAATGAGTCAGTGTTGGCATGTATAAGGCATACTAGGTACTAAAAAGGCGCATATTCCAATATTTTGAATGAAGAAAAGATAAAAATGAGGTTTGGCTCTAATACTCTACAGCAGTGAACTCAACAGTTAAGTATCAACTCCTGGTAGTGTGTTTGAAGCTTGACCAGATTTGGTGTTTATACCAATGCTAAAGCAGATATTATTTGGAAAATAATACTATGCTAGCAACTTGGTAAATGTTAGATTTGGCTAGTAGCGAGTAACTAGCAAATTTTTGTGACGTTGGAGAGGGAATTTAATGTGTGAAGCTTCTGTCTCTGGGGTACTATACCTCACTGTTGTACGTTTGTTATTTGCTGGATATGTGGTGTTTAGCATTCTACCTCAAGTACCCTAGAAAGGATACCTCACTTGCATGTCACTGCAGTAATTTAGTCCTGTTTAGAACTTAGTTCTAGTTCACTTTCAGGCTTAGGTGTCTTCCAGTGTTGTACTGAATTTCCTTCCTTGCCATCACTAACAACGATGGTGGTGTATCTCTTCTTTTCAGATCTCAGTATTCGGTAGCTTGTTCTATACTGGACTATTACCTATTAGGAACATTTTTATCATTTGCTTAAATTGTTCCTGAGGTGAAATGAAGCAGCTCACCCATAGGGTTTATACCATGTAAAATTCTAGAAGGTAGCAGAAAAAGTCAAACTATCTAGAAGTACTACTTGTGAAACCTAAAGGAAACTTACTGTTTCAGTTTTGTGTGGGGTATGGAATTAATGAGTTAATTAGATGAGTGGATTCCTGAAAGCACAGCAAAAGCAAAGACTGCACTATGGTGGTTTCTCAGGATGCATAAACCAGACACTGTTACTGTCTAGGTGACAGCCTAATTCTGGTTTTATTTGCTGGCTGCTCTGTTGCCATTTAAATCAAGCATGCTTCCACCTGGTCATGCTGTTTTTGGCAGTTTTCCTCCTCATATTGGAAGCTGGGTAGAGAATTCTGTGCACCAGTACTACTTCTTCAGTAGGTAAAGCTAGTTTCATGTGAACTGCAGAAACAGGCTCTCACCTGATATATACACCCTCTTTAAAGTATCTTGCTTTCTGACAGTATGACTCTGGCATGCAGTTGGCTTTGTAACTGCAAAAGTTTACTCTCAGGTGGAAGTAAGCAAGTAGACTTGCTTCAGCACAGTGAGCTCTCAAGCAGAATAAACTCAGGCATTTTTATTGGTAATATACACCTCATGTACTGTTGTTTCTTAGCATCTACTTGGTATAGAGGTGGTTCATGGAAGTCACTCCTCTATACCTTGTGGTTCAAGACTCCCATGCTATAAAGTTTTCTTTCATATTTCATAACCTAATACAGGGTCGTTAGGACTGTAGGAAGTTCCCCACTCTGGCAGTGCAGGGGCTAGAAATGCACTCTTCCCCTCATCAGCTGGTGGACAAGATTAATGTCGGTCACCTTCTGAATTAAGTTCCCTTGGTATCTGTTTCAGTCTAGTCTTTGACACAGATGCTTTTGTGCTAAGCCTTTAGTAACTAGGCTTGTGTTTGACTTGGCTGTTTTTAGGTTATTGTCTACAATATCTACATTAATCCAGCTTCTCCCCCTCATTATCATTAATGAAATCATGGATAATCTCCCAAACTATTCTATTTATCATAGGGCTTCTTGAAACTATGTTTTGATTTTGAAACCTGGGTAGGATCTTCAGGTGTGTATAGATGAATGCCCTCTTTAGGGCTATGCTTATCTTCATTTCTGGCAGTGATTTGCTGCTTCTAGATACTGTGAGGATACAACCTGATGATAGTGAGTGGCAGCCTCAGTAAGTAATCAGGCCTAAGGCTTTAAGGGGCACTTTGCCTGGAATGTTTTGTGGCTTTTGTTTTGAGGCTTTGTTTTGTGCTGGTAGGGTACCTGTGGGAATGGTGTCATTTATTGGTAACATGGATGGGCTGGATTAGATCTAAGGGATAATACTAGGGTTTTGCTGCCCTGAGCAAGACTTCTTTTAATGAAGCAGGAGTAGGTGTGAATCTGTGACACCAAATAAAGCTTGGTGAAACCAGAGTTGGTTCATGCACTTCTCAAAATAAGGCCATGGTGCTGCAATTTGCTGATCTTTCTCTTTGGGAGAAATAACTAACAAATAAATAACATGTAAATTGTTGACAATCAAGTCTTAAAACTTTGATAGAAGCTGTAGTCACCAAGTAGCTAGTAACTATAATTCCTGGAATACACAGTTCTAGGTATATTTCCGTAGACAAAAGCATCAGAGAAGAGTACAATCTGAAACAATCTGAAAAAATCTATCGGTACAATCTGAAAACTATGCTGCATTTGGAAAGAAATTTGTTAAGACTGGTTTCTTGGCCTTTTACCTCAAACATTATATCTGACCTATAATGTAGCTCTGTGAAGTAGCTGGCAGTCTAACCAAAGCTAGGGATTTTCAACCCAGTGTTTAATCTTGTGATATTATCGTAGTCTTTGTGTGCTGTAAGGAAACTTCTCTATTGTTCTGCTTTCAAGACTTTTTATGGTAGCTAAAAGTAAAATGATCATGACAAAACTATGCCAACACAAGAATGTTTAGGGTGTATGTGATCAACCTTTTCTTGAAACTGTGGCATGTATGCTGTGCAGCTGTTACTGAATACTTTAAGTGTGTACCTTAAATGGTACTTGAGAGTGTGTTTTGGGGTTTAAGTAATCTCTTGAGAGTGTGAACTCTGGCAAATGTAAAAAAAAAAAATAAAATCTTTGCCTTTAATATCAGCTTTGTTGTTGTACTGATTGGTAACCTTTGAAACAGAATTGGTGGAAACTTGAAGTATGGATACCTGAATTAAAGGCTCTAAGAGAAGCTGAGTAGCTAGCTCAAGATAATAAATTCTTTCTGAAACTTGAGCAATTCTGCACCTGATGATGCAGAATTTAAAGAATTGGATGTTAAGTATGAGATATTTTAAGATGTGGTAGAAGACAAATACCTTTATTGTTTATCATCACAAAGTCAAGTTTTTAACTTTCACCATTCCCGAATATGTAATTGGAGTTAGCATGGATACGGGTGTATTTTTGCCTACTATTTGGATGTGTATTGCCATATCCAGTTCTGTAGGAGAAGACTTTCAAATGACCGAATTGCATCAAACTGAGCTAAAGAGGCATAAGATTCCCAAAAACTGGTGTGTGCCAGGTCACTTGCTGCCGGGCTGTAGCCAATATATGAAGGCTTGCTGTGCTGGTAGCTGTGCACAGTCCATGTTTGAAATAATGCTTTGGCCTTTTACTTTCGGGTGTGCTCCATGTTTTAGAAATGATTCTCCCAAGTGTAAGAGGAGAAAAATGCCATGATTTGAGTAAGGGGAAGAAGCAAGCTTGGGAATGCAATGCTGAAATACATTAGATGTGAACATTCTTAACTTCAGATTAAATGAATGGGCAACACCACAGTGAAGGGAGTGTTAAGGTGGTGGTGGTGTTTTTTGTTTTTTTTTTTTGGTAGCATTTTTTGGTGGTTTTTTTGGTCCTTAGATTTAATGTTGCTGTGTATCATTCATGTGATTCAGTCTCTTTGGAATGGGAGAAGCCCTTGCTCTAGTCTGTAAGAGTGTGGCTTGGCCCTTTTAAAGAACCTTTGATTTCCGTTAGGCCTCTTTATTCTCAAAGTATTAAACTGCAATGTAAGACATCAGCAGTTGTTACCAGGGTGGAGAAGCAGCACTTGGTAGAGGAGGGGATGGGAGAACAGAGTTCAACTTGCTTTGAGAAAGTTTAAGCTAAAGGGTGTATGTGTGTGTGTACAGCTATCGTAGTTGCAGTGTTGGTAGGTACTGCTGAACTTGCTCTTTGAGCAGTAATGTGAAAGGGCAAGTATGAGACAGGAGCGACAAGGATCTCTTTGCATGCTGTGTTGTAGCTATCTGAGGTTACCTAATTCCTGCTTCAGTCACACTTAAATGTGAATGGGTGTCCTGGGTTCAGCAGTAGCAGTCATGTTTCTCCTTTGTGGTAGCTGGTGCAGTGCTGTGTTTTGACTTCCAGCCTGGGAACAGTGCTGGTGATACCGATGTTTTCGGTTGTTGCTAAGTGATGTTTACCCTGACCAAGGACTTTGTGAGGCTCATGCTCTGCCAGGGAGGAGGGGAAGCCGTGAGGAAGCAGAGACGGGATGCCTGACCCAGGCGAGCCAAAGAGGTATTCCATACCACAGCACATCATGCCTGGGGTGGGGGGTAACTGGGAGTTACCCGGAAGGACACGGGCTTCCGGGTGGGACTCGTTTCTTGGCCGGTGGTATCGTATTCTCTTCCCTTGTTATTTTCCCTTATCATTGTTGTCGTTGGTGTTAGCGGTGGTGATTTGTGTTGTACATTGGTTGCTGGACTGTTCTTGTCTCAACCTGTGGGAGTTGCACTCTTTCGATCCTCCTCCCCGTTCCTCCGGGAGCGGGGAAGGGGAGAGCCCTGTGGTGGGGGGTGGGGCCCTTGATTGCTTTCAGCCTGGCACCACTCACAGGGAGTGAGTGAACAAGCTGTCTGGCTAGAGTTTAAACCATGACAGTTTTTTTTTTTTTTTTTTTTTTTGGCGCCCAATGTGGGACCCGAGGGGTTGATATAACAATAGATGTGACCGGATTAATAGTCACTTGTCACAGTGCTGATTTATTGGCTCTCAAGGTTGTTCCTCTTGATCTCACAGTTTCAGTATATCATATCTTACTTCCATCTGGTATTTGCTGTATTAGTGTTTTTCAAGTGTGGGGCTTGGGCTAAGGTTTTTGTCTCATTGTACTTTATGGTAATGACTTGTAATACAATAGAATCATTGATCATGAAACTGA